AAAGCCTAAATTTTATTCTTTCGGGTACTTCAGGTAGGAAAAGAGGAAGAGGAGAATGGGAATTTCGAGCCCACGCCGTCATCGCTACAATGTAAAGCATTCCATTAGGTTTTTCAATAAAACTTTTAACCCTTATGGACATCATGAATCGTTTTCTCTAAGAGACGTGCGCTTAAAGGGTAAGGATATAACACTATTCAAGATCTGTTCACAGATGCTCGGCTGGTTAGAATGGGTAGGACACCCATATAAATTCCTGACCTGGGATAGCTCCCAATCCAAAACCAAAACTGCGTCCAAGTCCGAGTTGTCCGTTTTTCTGTTTTTGACCGTAACCTTTAGGCCGACCGTCGTCGGAGGGATCAGCAAATCTATTGGGGTAGAGGTTCAGATTGGGTACACCACATTTCTCCGAAAATTCTTGGCAGAAGATCTAAACAAGTCTAAAAATTTGATGTTATAAAATGATTTGGAGTGACAAATATAACCAATAAAAAATAATTTTAAAGCATAATCATCGCATGAAGATCAGGGGTAATTCTCATAAATAAAATTTTTATTTTTGTCCTAATTTATGCAATATTTGTTTGATCGAATATTCCTTACCTGCAAATCATAACGCAGCTTTTTACCAGGAAGACAAGTTCTTTGAAATGTGTATTGGTTTACTGGACAGTACCTGAAAAAGTGAAAAAGTTAAGCAGAGCTATTTATTTTCTTTTCTCTAACAATGCTATTCTGTCTAGAATCAGTCCTGCCAAAATTACCACTTACTTTCTCCAATCCTGTTCTTTTTGTAACGCCGGAAACACTGTGTACAACATATTCTGTCGAGGTAGTGGCACAGGTGTAGTCGAGCGATAAGGCCTAAACACTGTTGAATTTCAGGACTTAGGAGAAATCAGTTGAAAGAAAAAAAAACCTTACCGAATAGTAGTATCTTCTAACTCAAGAGAAATGTCATCCTCGTCAACGCTGTGGCTCTAAAATTCAATTGAAGTAGGATTTTACGGACGCAAACATATTTTCTTAGTCTTAAAGAAAACAACTTTAAGGGATTTGAATGCTATTGTTCAATATCCCCAATTATTACAAAGTGATATCGATAAGATCGAAAATATGTCTATT